CCCCAAAACCCCAAAACCCCAAAACCCCAAAACCCCAAAACCCCAAAACCCCTTAATAAAAATGATAGATTGAAAATATAAAAGTTCGAATTAATCTTTAATCATCTTCTTCACTTGAGGATGACAAATAATGCTCATTTTGCATAAGTATTCTTTCTGACCGCCTAAAATTTAGAAAAACTTTACCTTCTCGCATTTCCAACAGCTAAATTTCTTTCCATTATATTCATGTCCATCTCACTTTAAGTAATTCTCATTAGCTTACTCCATATCTTGATTTTGCTCATTATTTAGTTCTTCCTATGAAAATATAAAGATATAAATGTAAATATTTAGTAAAAGCATACCTTAAGGTCTCGAGGCATATATTTTCGATCAATAATAAATTCTATCCATTTAGCACAATACCCAGGTCTTAGCATTACATGCTTATTCATATAAAACCTATTATTTTCAGCTCTAAGATACACAGCAAGTACAAAATGAGCAATTCTCAGATATCTTGTTGATTTCCTTCTGCTCCAAAATGCAAAATTGCCAACAGCTCATGCATAAGCTAAAAAGATGAGAGTACCCCAGATAAATCCGATAAAAATCCCTAAAATAATTCAAATAGCTAGCATAACCCAAAGTAAGCCTCATAATAGGAAGATACTGAGGATATCGTAAATAAGTATCCTCCCTCTAAGCCTTCTCATAAGCTGTGAAGCTTCTTTGCATGTTGCAAAGATGTCCTCATAATTAACTCCCATCTTTTCAAAATTGGTATCCTCAAATTTCTTGGTGCCCATCTTGTATTAATAAGGTCAGATATTCGAATACTTTACCACCATGTAGTGAGGCTTTATACATTTTGGCACCAAGAAGATCTGAGAACTCGCATTCTCTCTGTAAGAGAATAGATATGGGGCCTTCCCCATATCTATTGAGGGACTAGTTACACTATTTAGAGGATTATCTTCACTCAAATATTTGGAGTACTTCTCGAGCCCATATTTCTTATATGCTCTTAATAAATCATCTACATTAGGAATTGGGTCATTAGGCTCTTGATATGTTTTCTGACATAGTTTATTTAAATTCCTCTAAATTAAACTCCCGAGGTCTTCTTTCAAAAAGTCTTTGATCAAGAGCTTCTAAGTCTTCATCATATTCTGCAGGTCTTCTTGCAACTTGTGGCTTATTTGGGTCAATTTCTATAGGTAGAATTTTCTGATTACCATCAACTTTGTCTTTTCTTCTTTGTAAAGCATGATCATAGACAGGTAGCACCATACTTTCCTCATTTATCTACAAAGCATTATTCTAAGATCTTAAGCCAATTACTTGAAAATACAGCATGAAATTTATTTGCCTGTTTTGAATTTATTAAATTTCACCATAATGTTAACTTACTTGTTTTCTATCTTCGTTCATTCTAAATTCTGGATCTAAAGCTTCACCCTCGAGTACAATTTGGTCAGTATCAATGACTCCTATTGCTTATTAAACATTAGTACCTTCAGTATGGTCAAGATGATTTTCATTTCTATAAAACTGGATGCTTTCTCCTATTTGTTTCCAATATTATATTTACTTTGTGGTTCCTTGTCCTCTTCTAGAACTGGAGGCAGTACTTGTTGATTTTGAGCGGATTGGGTCTTTTCGATATCCTTTCTGTTAATAAATTCTACCTGCTCTTTCATTGGACTACGATTGTTTGGATCATTTTCATGATCAGAGCAAGAGTCTTTTGGACCATCAATTTTTACTAAATTTAACAAAGGAATTCCCAATTCTATAAATAAATTATAATTTTTACTCTTTGTTTTTTCACTAAAGTCGTTCTTTTGAATGACATCTCCAGTTTTAGTTTCTTCTTTTGGTGACTTCTCTTTATCTTCAGACTGGGATCTATTTGATTACTGATACTCAATACTTTAATTTTGTTAAATCTAATTTGAAACTTTTCTTAAGGTTTAATTTTTTCTCTGGATTAGTATTTTCAGTAACTTGAAGCTTCTCTAGATTTTCTCTTTTGTTATACTCAAAAGAGTTTTCTTTATTCTCTTCAACTTTAACCTTCTCAAAATTTAACTTAAATTGGGGCCTTTTATGATTATTTTTATGAATAAGATCAATCTTTGGAAGATATTTTTCCTCCTCCTAAATTAAATAAACTTTTTGGAGCTACTTGCATGCTGGAATCTAAGCTTTTCTTCAATTTTTGTTTCTCATTCACAGCATAATATAATCCCTGTGCATCCTTATTTTTATTAAGATCTATAATATCATTAATATATGATTACCCTCTTTTTCTTCCATTTTCTTTTGCCATAGTTCAAGCTGTATAAATGTGAGGAATCATTTAAATGATAAAATCAAGCTACAGATTTCCTCCTAATTTAAATATGTGAAGGTCCTTCACTATAATATCACAAAAATAAAGAAGCTTGCCTTTTTATCCAAGTCATTAGCTAAATTTTTGCTTCTCCTATATGAGGAATTAAAGCTCGTTCATCAAAAGTTACTGTACGCTTCCATGATTGTTTTTATTATAAAAATATTTTCTAAAAGGGGTTTTGGGGTTTTGGGGTTTTGGGGTTTTGGGG